ACGAAATTGTGGTTAATCTGTCTAGTACACAAAGATAAGTTTCTATGCCCAGTGGCGTGACGTACAATACTGTATCATACGTTCCTCACTAATATTACATGATCAATCGGGAAATGTATCTTCCTTTCGAATGCTATCTTTTTACAATTGATTTTCCCATGTTTGCATGTTTCGGGATGGAAGTGATTTATATCTAAAAATTGTTCTATATGGTGATATTTTAGTTGTACGTAAACAAATACGAGAAATACAATGTAAATTCCCCACCCCCTCACATATGAATTTGTACCGGAAATGGGTATTCGCCCATTTGTATATGAAGTTTGAATGGATTTCAATGATACATTTAATGTGGAAGACCTGTGTTCGCAAAGGTATTCGTAGAACTTTCGATCTAGTGCAACGTTTTCAAATGAGCATACAGTATATGTAACTGTATAGTTGTAATGATGAACTGAAAAAAAATTTATGTGAACGTTTCTAATCTAGTATCATCGACGACGGTGTTTGGTACCAGAGACGTATGTATATGTCTCTGGTGGTAAAAAAGCATAGAACTGTAACAGCCAGAAGTTTTAACCACTACAAAAAGACATCTTAATACAGACATGGACGATATCTTTACGCAAGTGAGAGAAGGGAACGCTTTTCATTTGCGGGTATGGCTGGATAACACGGAGAACGACCTGAACCAAGGGTAAGGAACCCAAGTGAAAATATGCCTAGTCTGCTCCCATTATCGTTTCTCCTCATATATTCCTACCTTGAATTTAGGTTTTGTAGAACTCTAGCATTTTCGGAGTCTTAAATTTTTTGAAGGCCTTTTACTCTTTATTGAAATGTATTATTGGACGATACATATACATTAAAGTAGGTCAATTTATTTTTGTGTTTTGAGAGGCCATAGACAAGGTGATTAATTATATGAGCAGTGTCATGTTCATCAAAATTCAAAGAATGACTTTTGATCAAGAGAACAAAATATATATACCGTATATATAGTATGTTAATTTAAAAACATTTAGATCGATTTTTGGTAGTACATGGGTGTTTTGAGTGATCACTGGAAACGGACAACGTTTCGAATGACAACTTAGCCAAGTGTTGAACACTAATTCAGCTCATTGCCAAAAACACAAAAACAACTGTCCGGAGTCGGATCCTCGTAACCGATATTGATGCTCCTGCTGTACTTGGCTACGATTTTCTACATACTCACAAATGTCAAGTTGGTATAAGAACGCGTTTTCTCAATTTTCAAGGTTAAAAGTAGAAATGCGAGAGAGAAGGCATGATGGGTTCTCTTTTCGGGATCAGTTTATCAGGAAATCTTGTTATTTCACGGGAAGGTGGAACGGTTGTGGCAACAGATGTTTCAAACAGTGTGTGCAGACTGGAGAATATCTTGAAACAACACTGTAACAATGCTCGGAGAGGAATTAGTGTACAAGTCACAATGTCTTCGGTACATCGAAGCAAGACAGAATTCTATTACGTCTAATCAACCTGTCTAATTAACCACAATCCATCTACAATGGTCCATGGGCAGCAACATGTGAAGAGGTTACTCTATTCAAAACACAACTTGACAAATCCAACGACGAAAACAGGGTAGATCTATGTACAAGACAGTATTCATGTGAGTCTATAGACACTTTTAGACAGATGTGAGGAAAGCGTGACACCCGAACAACAACAGAACATGAGGAAATTACACTTCTATCATATCTAAACATCATTGCAAAGGCAAATACATATCAAGGAAAATATAACGACATTAGATAGACATTGGAAATGTTGTCCAAGTGAAACACTCCGCGAAGACTTTCGCCTACCAATGGTTGTGCTTGGGACTAAAAAATACGGTTCTGTGCGTTTCTGTGTGCTTAAATGATGCAATACCGAAAGACGCACATCCACTGCCAAGCATCGATGAATCACTAGATACATTTGGTGATGTCTTTTTCCTTAAAAAGTGACCATTGGCTAGTCGAAATGGATCCGACCAATAAGGAGAAGACAACGTTTGTCCACACAAATAGCTTTTATGAGTACAATGTTATGCCATTTTGGTGTAATCAATGGTTAATGGAATGTGTATAGGATAGGTTATATGTTTACTCTATCAGGATATTATTATTTTTTCCATTGATTTTGAGACTCCTATTCAGAGACCCGACGTCGTGCTGAACAAGCTACGCCAGGCCGTGTTGAAAAGCATACTTAAATACTTAACGCAAGAGAGCTTACGGTACCATAGGAAGGAGGTTGTGATGAACCCCGTGAAAGGAAGAAAACCGAATGTGAAGAGTTTATGAGAAAGTGTAGGGGAAATGGATGGCAGGCTGGGCTCTTCCCAGTGGAGGTTGGCTGCAGAGGTCTTTCCGCCCGCTCTTCATGGAGGATGTTGCAGATACTAGGAATCACAAGAGACAGAACTGCAGCCATCAGATGTTTAGCACAAGCTGCTGGGAGAGCATCGTGCTGTTTATGGCATTGTCGAGGTAAGTCGAAAACTATTAGGCTATTTCTTTAATTTCCATATACGAAATTGTGGTTAATCTGTCTAGTACACAAAGATAAGTTTCTATGCCCAGTGGCGTGACGTACAATACTGTATCATACGTTCCTCACTAATATTACATGATCAATCGGGAAATGTATCTTCCTTTCGAAAGCTATCTTGAAATTGATTTTTTCTTTATTATCATGTTTCGGGCTGGAAGTGATATACATCTACAACATATATTGCATATGGTGGTGTCTCAGTTGTACAAACCAAAGGCACCTGTATCTGGAAAGTAAACAAACACCAAGTAAAACGGTCCACCATGCATCTTGCACCGGAAACTGCGATTCGTCCATTGTATAAATGCATACCTATATTTTATGTAATCGGCACTAGAGCGCTGTGTTCGGACGTATTTTCTGAGAACTTTCTGTCAAATGGGCATACAGTATGTCTAACTGTATAGTTATAAAGATGCACAGGGAATGGGAAAGCTTCGGATCCTAGTGGCTGAATTAAGCTGGGAACTTGGGGTGTTCCGAGGTTGACAAGTACGTCTAATAAAGATAAAGTGCTATGCCCAGTGGTAACTTCTTTTACATTACCTTTTGTGTTTGTTCACTGAGCTGTGAAGTCATTGAAGTCCTTTCTATTGTTGTTATTCAATTTTATCTACCTGTGCCTCTTTGCTGTAACCTTGACTTGGCACTGGCCTTGCCGAAGCCATTTTAATTCATTTGTCGACCAGTGAGAAGTGAATCTCATTTTCGTAAAAAAAATGAGCAAAAATACTGATGCATTAAGTTGAAGAGTTGTAAAACTTACATAAGTCTATCGGAAAATTCCTCAGATTTTTAATTCCATTTGAGTTTCTTCATATTTCGATATTTCGGGCAGAATTTGGTATATAATATGATGTGGTATTTCAGTTGTAAATAGCTTAAACGTGCTTTTGTTTCATAAATATCAAAAGTTTACAAAAAAGTACGTGTCGCTAAAGCAGCACAATCTATTTGAGAATTAATCACCTTTCTACTACAGCTTATTTTGAAAAGTTAGATAAGTACTTTTGGAGAAAATGGTTTATGAAAACAGCAAACGTTACCATTAACATATATCAGTGTATTTCAGTTAAGAGAATTCAATTGATCTCAAAATAGTTTATACTTTCTGTGATAAAATCGTAAAGCTTTACGCTTGAACGTGAGTTGTACTGGCTTAAAGATGTTAAAATAACTTAAAAACCAGGACAGTGATACCTGACTGTTTGATCAAGAAAGTTTTCAATTGAAATATATATATATATTTATTATCATTGTTTTAAAACGTATCGAACAGCATTTTATTAGGTAGAGTGGGAGATCGCTATACGTGTAATTAATGTAATAAGTTATCACCATATTTATATTTCCGGGGGAAATCGTATTTAAGTTTCGGTAAACGTCAAGTTTGACACGTAGGGAGTCGTATCTATATGAACTTGTAGTAGAAATGAGTGTGAACCGTTATTGCGCTTGTTCGTTCCTTATAAATTTTGTGAATTTGTTTTGTATAAACCGGACTTGAATATAGGATTAAAAAATATAATACGTGTATCCACACTGTATAAGTTCGTGTTATAAACTTGAAAATTCAAAGCAATGTGTGAATACAAATGGAAATTTTGTAGTATCATGCAAAAATGTAATGAAAAGATATCGTTATTGAACGTTAAGTGAATTTTTTTCTGTTTACTTCCTTTAGTAGCTAAACTTTCCCGCGAAATTAGAATCAGCTATCTTGTCATTCCACATGTTCCGTCAGTGCGTATAACCACGGACTTATATACAAGTCCGTGGTATAACGTTCAATGAACGACGACTGTTTTTAAGGAGTGAAAATGAAGAAAAAAATGCTTTTAAACTATAAATGTAAAAAAAAAAATCTTTTTTAAAAAATCGGTTTACATAGCAGTTCACTACTAAACTGAAATATTATTTCTTAATTACATGGCAGGTGTCGTACGTAATTGAAGAAGTTCTAATTAGACTGAAGTTTACTCTTCCGGAAAATCGGAACCCGGCTTTATTTTCGTTACACTTTTTCATTAATCTCCGTGTAAATCTGTCTTTTGTTCACATTTTGCCTTAGGTTGATTGCATTTGAGTATTTCGATTATGTTTATGTTGACATGTTGGTATATGTTTGAAAAAAAAACTAATACAGTGACGAAGAATACTGTATCATACGTTCCTCACTAATATTACATGATCTGTCGGGAAATGTATCTTCATTTCCCTTGGAATACTCTTTTTTGTTTTTTCTTAAAATTGATTTTCCCATGTTTCGGGATGGAAGTGATTTATATCTTTAAAAAAAATGTTCTGTATGGTGGTATTTTAGTTGTACTTAAACAAATACGAGAAATACAATGTAAATAACAACCCCCACCCCCCCCCCCTGACATATTAACTTACCGGAAATGGGTATTCGCCCATTTGTATATGAAGTTTGACTTGATATTCCATGTATACATTTACTGTGGAAGACCTGTGTTCGGAAAGGTTTTCGTAGAACTTTCTATCTAGTACAACGTTTTCAAATGAGCATACAGTATATGTAACTGTATAGTTGTAATGATGAACTAAAAAGGTTTATGACAACGTTTCTAAGTTGGTATCATCGACGACGGTGTTTAGTACCAGCAGGGACGTATGTTTATGTCTTTGGTGGTAAAAAAGCATAGAACTGTAACAGCCAGAAGCTTTGACCACTACAAAAAGACATCTTAATACAGACATGGACGATATCTTTACGCAAGTGAGAGAAGGGAATGCTTTTCATGTACGGGTATGGTTGGACAACACCGAGAACGACCTGAACCAGGGGTACGGAACCCAAGTGTTGATATAGTATGGCCTAGCCTGCTCCCATTATCGTTTCTCCTCCTATATTCCTACCTTGAATTTAGGTTTTGTAGAGCGCTAGCATTTTCGGAGTCTTAAATTTTTTGAAGGCCTTTTACTCTTTATTGAAATGTATTATTGGACGATACATATATATTAAAGTAGGTCAATTTATTTTTGTGTTTTGAGAGGCCATAGACGGGGTGATTAATTATATGTTATGATTTGTTATGGTTGTATTCTATAGTCATGTAAATCATCCTGGTCCTTCCAGAACTCATCAAGTCTGTTTTTGAAAGTGTTGGTGGTTTCGTCTATGAGCAGTGTGGATTTCGGGTAGTACATTGGTGTTTTGAGTGATCGCTGGAAACGAACAAATTTTGAATTACAAGTTAGCCAAGTGTTGAACATTACGTTCAGCTCATTGAATGGACACGCAAAAGCTTGCTACTTTTTTCTTTTGTTCAAAACATTAATATTTGCATGAAAATATTTCATATGTATACCTCACAGAGACAAAACAGATCTTGTGTATACATATCAATATAGTTAACATGGTACTGTTTAAAGCCCCTGAATACAAATAACTAAAAATTTTACTTAAGGCCAGGAATACTATTAAGATGTGTGATATTGTTTGAATTTTGAGAACGTCAGTATTGATACGTGATAGTAAGTTAGTAACATCTCTATTGTATAAAGTTAAAGTATGCTTCAACGGAGACGTTTATAAAACATATATTTATATATATTAGTCTCTGATACAAGTTTTGTTATTGTCAAAGATTCAATACATGTTTTGAAGGCAAACAATACTTGATGTATGGTGCAGTTAGCATCCAGAAATGTTCTCTCTTTTGGCAGAACACTTGACAATAGTTTGCGTATATGTTAGTTGGTTTCCATTCATATTTTTCAAAAATTTGTAAGAGACACAGTTACATATGAATGTTTTATAGCATAAGTCTTCAACAACTTAATTTTTATTGGGTTTTACATCCACTGTTTCAGCCTTTCATTAGACAAGTCTTTTTACAAGTCACTAGCTCGCAATACGCAGGGGGTTTACATCAAGGCATGTTGACTAATGTGGACGAGGGCATCACTGTTGGCTAGGGATATCACGGTCTAGGTTTTGATTATCAAAAATAGTGATCTATAATCACAATAACAACTACCTTTACTGGTAATCACAGGCTAGAACTGGATCCAAGTGTTTAATGTCCCTGTAATGAAAAGAATTTTGGGAAAGAATGCTTTAAGGATGTTACCTGATTTACCTGAGTAGATTTCTTTTGAACAATTAATTCCAATCTATGATCCATATATACATAAGATTTCGATGTAGTCTTGCATCTCATAGGTCAGAGTTAGTACACTTCACACTAGTCATTTGTCTGATAAAGGTGACCGTGTTGCTATCGAAACATCACACTCCAATCTTCTACTGGTTTTGTTATAAGAACTTCTATTCTCTAGAGATGCTTATTGTGTTAATTAATTTTCATGGTCATTACTGGTTGATGATAAAATTTATTGATACACGTCTAGTTATTGAATGACCTGTCATATACTACTGGGTAAAGATGACTTTTGTTGTCTCAACCTTGGTTATTCAAAGTAAGTTTCAATCAACGACACACACCAAGCGTCACCTGATGAAGCCTAGCGTCAGAGGGGAAACTAGTCGGCCAGTAAATGATATCCCAATCACTGGGTTCAACACTTTGTGTGTGTTGTGACTGAAACTTACTTGGGGTAATTTTGATATTTTTATCCATCACCCTGCAGCACCCAACTTGTCGTCCAACTCACTCTTAAGTGATGTTGGCTCTATTTATATCTATCAACTTTGGTTATTTTTATACATTATTATTACTATTGTACCAATTACAATTGCCATGTATACCAATGTTAATACTGAAGTAGTTGTGTTAATGGTATATTTTATGATCATTACAATTAACACCAATTGATTATCAATACATTGTATAGCAAGATATCTTCAACTGCTAATGTTCTTAACTTCTCATTTGATTTTGAAACATTTCAATTCTATACTTTATAACACCAAAAATAGATCACTCTGAATTCTGAAATGAAATTTCTAGTGATCTGAGTTCAATGCTTTGTATAAAAGTTTGTGAAAATCTCTCATCAGAATAAAACGCATCTTGTCATGCTTAAACATACAATATAATCTGAGATCCATTGATTAAAGGCAAAAAGTTTTACTGTTTAGGAAAGAAAGGTGCCAATATTCCATTCTAGAATACCCTCAGTATATGAAAATTGTGCAATTCATTGCTGAACCAAATGTTTAGTTTTACGTTGTACTATGTTGTATATATTAGGCACAAGTTGCAACTATTTTACATACTTTTATTGGTGACTTCTTATCATGTGTTCGTGATCAAACGGGGGAAGCCAGTGTGATATCACATTGTAATTGCTGTTGTTTTGTGTTTGATCTTGAAGGTGCGCACCATTGGTCATAGAGAAAGACACTCAGTCTGGTATATTAGGTTATCTGAGATTATCAATCCCTATAAATAGTATTGATACACTGGATGTATCATGTTACGAAATAGAGTATAGGTAGCTTTCAGCTATATACATGTGTTACACGTATTTGAAGACGGGGCCGCGATGGCAGAGTAGTTAAGACGGTTGACTATAGTCCTCCACCTCTGGGTTGTGGGTTCGATGCTTACATGGGACAGTCGTCGGGTACTGGCTGCAGATCGGTGTTTTTTCTGGGGAACTTTGGCTTCCTTCCACCATCCAGACCTGATATATCCTTAAATGACCCTTAGGGTAGGAAATGAAGCAACAATTGAATATATGAGTACAATACATAATTGAAGACTGTTGATTGTGTAAGATGATATAATCTGATTATCACAGATTTCTTTGTGCCATCATCAAGTCCTATCACTCAGGATGATGTAAACTGACCTATTCTACACTAGTTACTAACACATCTTCCATATAAGTATAATGTGACTGACTCGAACAGTTGTATTCAATGGTAGAAAACCTCCAGGCTTAATGTTATGTACCAATATTGTACAATAAGGTTTAGTGAGTTAACACAGATTCTGGCTCAAAGTCAGGGAATGGGCTTAATGCAGGAGAATTGAATAGTTCTACTTTGTAAAAACAGATAAGATGGCCATATTATCATTATCTTGGTATTTACATAAAAAAAAGACCGAGGGTCAGAAACTGATCTTTTCTTGATTAAAGATGTTGATGTATCATGCAGGATTATTATAATTAACATAAATGAATTTTAAGACTGTTTATAAAACCTAACTGTCAACTTGTGATTGAAGTAAAGTGATGAAAAATATATTTCTTGATTTCAAATTAGTTTGGATAGATGTACCTGTATTTATATCACCAACTTTGTTGATGAAATACATGTATACTTGTACTGAAGAGGTTTTCAGGCACTATTAAACAGCAATTTGACAATACAGGTCAATTTGAATGATTTATTACTGTCCAACAAATTAAGAAAACATACAAATGTTGATCACAATGATGACTAGCCTATTCTATTTCAAATAATAGTTAAAATTTATAATTATCTGCATTTCAACTGATATGTGTAGTGTCCATGATAAGATATTTACAATATTTACTAAAACATATGTACATTTTCCTTTGTAAGATAAGTATGCATTTACACTATAATATATTCACAATGAGATCTGTACAGTATTCACTGACTATGAGATGTGCAGTATCTTCTGCAATATTTGTGCAGTATCCATTAAAAGTTATATACAGTATCCTCTATAAGTTCTATAAGGTATCCTCTATAAGTTATATACAGTATCCTCTATAAGTTGTATAAGCTATCCTCTATAAGTTATATACAGTATCCTCTATAAGTTGTATAAGGTATCCTCCATAAGTTATATACAGTATCCTCTATAAGTTATATACAGTATCCTCTATAAGTTGTATAAGCTATCCTCTATAAGTTATATACAGTATCCTCTATAAGTTATATACAGTATCCTCTATAAGTTATATACAGTATCCTCTATAAGTTATATACAGTATCCTCTATAAGTTATATACAGTATCCTCTATAAGTTATATACAGTATCCTCTATAAGTTATATACTATCCTCTATAAGTTATATACAGTATCCTCTATAAGTTATATAGGTATCCTCTATAAGTTATATACAGTATCCTCTATAAGTTATATACAGTATCCTCTATAAGTTATATACAGTATCCTCTATAAGTTATATACAGTATCCTCTATAAGTTATATACAGTATCCTCTATAAGTTGTATAAGCTATCCTCTATAAGTTATATACAGTATCCTCTATAAGTTATATGAGGTATCCTCTATAAGTTATATACAGTATCCTCTATAAGTTATATACAGTATCCTCTATAAGTTATATACAGTATCCTCTATAAGTTATATACAGTATCCTCTATAAGTTATATACAGTATCCTCTATAAGTTATATACAGGTATCCTCTATAAGTTATATACAGTATCCTCTATAAGTTATATACAGTATCCTCTATAAGTTATATACAGTATCCTCTATAAGTTATATACAGTATCCTCTATAAGTTATATACAGTATCCTCTATAAGTTATATAAGGTATCCTCTATAAGTTATATACAGTATCCTCTATAAGTTGTATAAGCTATCCTCTATAAGTTATATACAGTATCCTCTATAAGTTATATGAGGTATCCTCTATAAGTTATATACAGTATCCTCTATAAGTTATATACAGTATCCTCTATAAGTTATATACAGTATCCTCTATAAGTTATATAAGTATCCTCTATAAGTTATATACAGTATCCTCTATAAGTTATATAAGGTATCCTCTATAAGTTATATACAGTATCCTCTATAAGTTGTATAAGGTATCCTCTATAAGTTATATACAGTATCCTCTATAAGTTATATACAGGTATCCTCTATAATTATATAAGGTATCCTCCATAAGTTATATACAGTATCCTCTATAAGTTATATACAGGTATCCTCTAAAGGATATACAATTCTCTATAAGTTGTATAGAAGTTTTCATTATAAGTTATATACAAAATCCTCTATAAGTTATATGAGGTATCCTCTGTTATATAATACACATTTAAATATATACACTTGAAATGGACACATACATAAGTTATATACTTAGTATTTTTTTTAACAAATATATATACAGTATCCCTTCTAATTATATACAGTTCTTATAAGTTGATATTTATATTTCAAATTATATTTTTATATCTTCTATAAGTTATAAGGTATCCTCTATAAGTTATATACATTTTTTCTGTATTTTGTATAAAAACCCTCTATAAGTTATATACAGTATCCTCTATAAGTTATATAATGTATCCTGCAAATAATTATATACAGTATCCTCTATAAGTTATATAAGGTATCCTCTAAATAAGTTATATACCAATGTATCCACTATAAGTAGTTTAGTGAACCTATATATATATATACAGTATCCTCTATAAGTTGTATAAGGTATCCTCTATGAATTATATAAGGTATCCTCCATAAGTTATATACAGTATCCTCTATAAGATATATACAGATGAAATTGAGACAAAAGGAAACAATTCTTGAACTTATTTATCTGAAGTAGAAGTTTTCATTATGCCTACATGAATATCAAAACTCCCTACTGATAGATTACATTGAGTCTTCTGTTATGATTAATACACATTTAAATATATACACTTGAAATGGACACATACATACCAGGTATGTCTTAGTAAAGTTTTTTTTTAACAAATATTAGAATATCACAGTGTCACCTTCTAATTCATTGTAGTGATCTTTAATATGAAAGCAAATATTTATATTTCAAATGTATAATTTTTATATCTTTACTTTAAGAAATTTCCATAAATTCTATTAATCAATATTCATTTTTTCTGTATTTTCTCAAATAACAAAAACTACTTTAAAAAGATATATAGGATTTTTTGCTGTAATAATCTGATGTAATTGCAAATAATTGATATAAACAATATCACTGAATATCTTCCTTTATTCCTAAATTGACTTTTAGATACCAATGGACATGACTACCCTATTCCTAGTTCTAGTCCTATATATATATGTACATGTACTTCTCATCTTTCTGGTGATGAGATACCAGATTAACCCCCTGGTGGAGATTAGTATATTCATTATTGACAGCTCTTTGGGGACACAACTTAGTATATTCTTATTGTACTCTGTACACAACTTAGTATATTCTTATTGTACTCTTTTACACAACTTAGTATATTCTTATTGTACTCTTGTACACAACTTAGTATATTCTTATTGTACTTTTATACACAACTTAGTATATTCTTATTGTACTTTTATACACAACTTAGTATATTCTTATTGTACTTTTGTACACAACTTAGTATATTCTTATTGTACTTTTGTACACAACTTAGTATATTCTTATTGTACTTTTGTACACAACTTAGTATATTCTTATTGTACTCTTGTACACAACTTAGTATATTCTTATTGTACTCTTGTACACAACTTAGTATATTCTTATTGTACTTTTGTACACAACTTAGTATATTCTTATTGTACTTTTATACACAACTTAGTATATTCTTATTGTACTTTTATACACAACTTAGTATATTCTTATTGTACTCTTGTACACAACTTAGTATATTCTTATTGTACTCTTTTACACAACTTAGTATATTCTTATTGTACTCTTGTACACAACTTAGTATATTCTTATTGTACTTTTATACACAACTTAGTATATTCTTATTGTACTTTTATACACAACTTAGTATATTCTTATTGTACTTTTGTACACAACTTAGTATATTCTTATTGTACTTTTGTACACAACTTAGTATATTCTTATTGTACTCTTGTACACAACTTAGTATATTCTTATTGTACTTTTGTACACAACTTAGTATATTCTTTTTGTACTCTTTTACACAACTTAGTATATTTTAAATGCACTGTTTTATAGAACTTAGTATATTTTAAATGCACTGTTTTATAGAACTTAGTATATTTTAAATGCACTATTTTATAGAACTTAGTATATTTTAAATGCACTATTTTATAGAACTAAGTATATTTTAAATGCACTATTTTATAGAACTTAGTATATTTTAAATGCACTATTTTATAGAACTTAGTATATTTTAAATGCACTGTTTTATAGAACTTAGTATATTTTAAATGCACTATTTTACACAACTTAGTATATTTTAAATACACTATTTTATAGAACTTAGTATATTTTAATTGCATTCTTTTACTGCACTTATTACATTTTAAATGCACTCTTTTACAGAACTTGATATATTCTTAATGCACTCTTTTATAACTTGCATAAGTTTCCTGCCAAAGCAAATTGAAATGATCATGTATTAAATACCTGGACGGCTTGGATGGTATATATATATTTTACCATATATCTAAAACCTTATATTATTGTAATCAATAAAAACACCTATAGTTCAAGCTAATGATTAGTTCCTGTCTTAAAGCAGTTTTGTTTTGTTATTTGGGGATTCATGAAAAATAATTTACTTTGTTTAACCATAATTGGAACAAGATATAGCTGTCAGAAATGTTTAGATCTGGTATCTCATCACTAGAAAGATGCAAAGTACATGTACATATATATATAGGACTAGAACGAGGAACAGGGGAGTCATGTCCATTGGTATCTAAGTGTCAATTTAGGAATAAAGGAAGATATTCAGTGGTATTGTTTATATCAATTATTTGCAATTACATCAGATTATTACAACACAAAATCCTATTCTATCTTTTCAAAGTAGTTTTTTACATAGAAAATACAGAAAATGAATCTTGATTAATTGAATTTATGGAAATTTCTTAAAGATATAAAAATGATATATTTAAAGTTTGCTTTCATTTTAAAAATTACTACAATGAATTAGAAGGTGACACTGTGATATTCTAATATTTGTTAAAAAAAACTTTACTAAGATCTACCCAGTATGTATGTGTCCATTTCAAGTGTATATATATAAATGTGTATTAATGATAACAGAAGACTCAATGTAATCTGTCAGTAGGGAGTTTTGATATTCATGTAGGCATAATGAAAACTTCTACTTCAGATAAATAAGTTCAAAAATTGTTTACTTTTGTCTCATTTTCACCTGTTTCTTAACAAAAAGATTCAAATAGTTGCCTGGTACAAAAGAATTAATATTATGTATACATGTATTAAAAAAATGTTGAATATCAACAGATTGATATAAGTTAGAACACTTAAGTTGCTTCCCCAAAACAAAATGTAATCAATAAATGATGAATTTTAGAGAATACATGAGAAATTGTAGAAACTATACTAATAGTAAAATAAATATGATTCATCTTTGTTGTAACTGTACATCTATGTTCTGACAGAGATGACCACAGGTTCAGCCTGCTCCATTGGGCAGCAAGGGAGGGGCGTAATAACATTGTGGACATGCTCATACAGAGAGGGGCACGCATTAATGCTACAAATATGGGGGATGACACCGCACTACACTTGGCTGCCAGCCATGGTCACCGGGACATAGCTCTTATGGTATGTATTAAAACAGGGACAGATAACTCCATCTGTATATATAAATATTTACTTGTGCTATCATATAGATATATGCTTAAAATATATTTATTAATTATTTAAGACAGTGGTAAAAGGTTAAGCCAGCAGTTGCTAGTTGATACTTATAATGAACAATTTATATAGAGTTTTTAATTGAAATTGAGAGCAATATATGACTTGCTGGAGCACAAACCATAAGATATTGTGAGTTACTTGTTTCACCACAACTACATACATTTGATTGAATTCTTGATGGTTAAAGTTCTTCCAGAGTAGACTGTAGATTTTTTTCAATTCAGTTCAATTCAATATGGCTGGCATTCAAGCATTTGCTTCAAACAAAATGCTTTATAAGATTCAGTCATAAACCTATATTATTGTATAGGAGTTCATATCAATTTATTATTAACATTATTTGGACAGTACCTTACTGAGTGTTATTGGGTGATGTAGCAGACACCACCAGATAAAATGTCAGAATGTTTCATTTTCATTTCAAAATCTCATCTGACAATGTTAACTGAATTTCAGTATGCCTTGTAACAGTAAGACTCTCACACAAATGTTTTAATATTTGTAACATTTTCTATCACAAGACTTCAGAAAAAATTATTATCATTGTAGCTGCTCCACAACAAGGCAAATATCAATGCTGTGAATGAACATGGAAACACTCCGCTGCACTATGCATGCTTCTGGGGACATGACTTTGTTGCTGAGGTATGAATTACATAGTTCACACTTTACATGTTATGATGTTATTACAGTACATAGATAATCATATAAAACATACCAGACTCCAGAGTGTATTCCTATATTTATAAAATCAGTCCTGTGTTTCCAGACATTAAATGGTCTCTTCATAGGGTTCATTATGAATGATAGTAGTTATCAATTGTAGTCATAAAAATTTGGATTGTTTTTTAAATTTTAATGTTAGAGTCAAACTGAAAAAAAAATATTTGTACAATGACTTAGGTTGTAGACTGATCAATATAAAAATGATCTCTCTACAGTTCTGTCAAAATAACTACTGTTCAATTTAGAAGACGGTTCACTAAAAGGGAGAGTGTGACAGTGATTAATCCACAATAGTAGTTATTGTTCCCTAAACTGATTTTTTTTCCACTTACAGGACTTTGTTAACAATGGAGCTCTTGTTGGCATTGCTAACAAATTTGATGAGACACCACTGGACAAGGCAAAAACAAGATTAGCTGAGGCCTTAAGAGGTAACAAGACCTAAACTATCTGTAATAAAAAAAATATGTGTATTGTATTTAACATGTAAATATGATAAACTGAATGAATATTGTACCAAAGAACAATGAGAACCTGAAATGTAGAATTAGAATGTATTTGTAATGAAAATCTCATGCTTTGTTTTTTTTGGTGATTGTGTTTGTTGATATGTATAGATCGAGCCTTACAACTTGGACAGGATCTACAGAAAATTCCGTTTAAGGATCGCAGCTGGCTGGGTTACAAGACCAGGAGTAGTAAGTGTTGTCTGTGTTTTACTGTCAATCAAAAACACAATTTCTATATTTCTGAAGCATTTGTTGTATAACGCAATCTCTTAGGATTAAAGTGAGACAATAACAACATATTGGAAAGCTGTAGGAAATACATGTTAGTTATCACCCGCAAAAATATTGTATCTGAACAAGATGATTTTATAAAAGGGTACATTGTACCTGAACTGATTGAGGATGGTCTGTTTATGGATGGGTATGTTATACATGAACTGATGAGCAACCTTATATGAATTTTGGACCAGTAAAAATTAGAAAGTATTTATAACTGACTGTACATGTACATCACAGAATAGTGCATATAAACCACTGTATCCCTGATTTAACCTCATTTAAGAAAAATGTAATTACAGTAATAAAATGGTTATGTTTGGTGTTTGTTTTCATATTGGATAATAAGTTGTTTTTAAGATACTCATACAATCTAATTGTGTTACAGTTGTCAGAAAATATTTTTGCTAAAGCTGAATTTAGTAATCAATATTCTTGTTGAACTTCTACAAAATAACAGACAATGATCTAATTATCTAAATTTCCAAAGGTTAAAATTTGTAAGGAAGTAGTGAGCAGCAGTTTGTTGACTGCTATGCATCATAAGATGTGTGTTGATTTGAATTCTTGTATATAAAGTATAACTAGATATATATCTATGCAATATTTTAAATCAATTAAAAATGATGTTGATAGATTAATACAGAAAGATATGTATGAAAAACAGAGAGATGAGAATCATAATAAAATATGTGAATTTATTAGATTGATGAAGAGCATATTGTAGGCTGTTACTTTGATAGTACTGATGTTCAATATTAATTTTACTCAATTGATGTCATTAGTCATAAATTACAATATGAATATCCATCTTGAAAAAATTAGAAGAATATTCAATCTTTAGCAGAAAAATTGTTAATCATTTCTATTTTCATTTGCTGTGGAAATCATTGATATGTTGAGCTTATTACAAATGTACGAGTGAAATTTTAGTTGGTGTGTCATGTTACAGGTCAAGCATCAATGACAGGTTAAGATATTCTAACAGAAATTATAATATCCATGATCATTTAACATTTCATTTCTCTATCTCTCTCAGTACAAACATGGATAGCCTGCATCTCATACATTGTACTGTCCTACCTTTGTTATCTTTAATGTATAAAACATAGAGTGTAATGAAGTATTCAGAAAATGGAGAATCATTGATATCAGAACCTAATATGTATTATGTTGGATGTGTGATGTTTTTCATGTTAACATGTATCTGCTTTTAAATTGTACTTACTCCATTTAAAAATTATGCATTAATTGTATATCTGGAAAAACAGAACATATATAAATATATACATATATTTATTTAAGAATTCACATATAGTCATATACTTATCAAGGTTTTTCTATCTTGTTTTTCCTATTACATACCTGTTCAGTGCTAATATACCAGTTAGTCAGGTAAATTATTTGAGATATATGCTTACAAAACAAGTCAAGTATATTAAATCCAGGGAGGTACACACAATCTATGTATTGTAAAATTGTTTATATACTTGTTACCTATGTATATATCAACAGGCTGTTAGTTTGTTCATATGCACCTATAATAATTGACAAAGACATAATGATACAAATTTGGAGATATATGACAGTGGCAGAATTTTAAAGGTTTAGAATAAATAGACCTTTTAACCTGCAATAAGCCTGCATGGCTAACAAATGATGTCTGACACAGATTTAAGTGATGAACTGATTAGCCGACTATAAAATAACTGTTGTTGGTTATTCTTTTGTACTGTGATAAATGAAAAGTAGGTTTATTACAGTGTGTGGGGTTATTGTCAAATAGATATTCATGTAATGCTTGGTAATTCACCATAAGCTATATGTCCGATTTGTTACCTTATGTTTGGAAATATTCTTTATTGTTATATTTCTGAATGGTAGTAGGAAAGGGTAGATGAAAAATGCATCATTATATACATGTAGTTACAAAATTTAAGTTGTAATGTTCTTCTTAAACATCCTACTCATATGAATGTGATTTTCTCTTTATTAAAAGGATCTATAGAATTTTGGTAACAAATGCATTCATCTGGCAAAATCTGTCTTATTTCAGGGGATGCCTTGTTGTCTAGACACACTGGTATAGACATAGCACAGCTGAACCTCAGTAAACATGTAACCACAACGCACTCAGGGGAGGTAAGTCTGTCAACACAACAGATTCAGGGGAGATCAGTCTCTCAACATAACACTTTCATGGAAGGTCAGTCTGTCACCTCTACAAATTGGAGGAAGTTAAGTTCAGGGGAGATAATTATCTGATGCTGAAGATATTATGAGTTGTCAAGGCCTGTTATTTGATTGATATTTGTTTGGTTTGACAGCTCTGGCGGGGACAGTGGCAAGGCAATGACATCGTTGCTAAAATACTCAATGTCAGGGAATGCACAACCCGTAATTCACGTGACTTTCAGGAGGAATTCCCTCGTCTGAGGTAAGTGCACCAATGCAATAAGTGTATTGAAATAATCTATATTGGGCAGAATTCTTTGAAATTTATTTCATAAAATCCATTTCAAGAATTTATCTTTGAATCAAATCAATAAATTCTGCAAATACATTTTTGCTGGAATTTTATTCTTTCACCAAAAATCATGTCAGCTACAACCAGTTTTAGCAAGAACCAGTTAATTATATATATAAAGATACAGTTAATAAACACCATCTTGCTATACTTCTACTGACAAAAGAAAAAGAAACATTTCAGCAATACTAAAGAAATGCCTCTCCCTGGGAAATGGTAAGATTACAGTAGTCTGTAGGTAACCATGAAAGTAATGCAAGAACAATTTACAATTTCAGTAAAACTCTTCTTTCCTTGTACAAATACCATTTCTCTATGGAAACAGTTGTAGTGTATGTTCATTTCAACTCTTTTCATTCATGAATTTACTTAAGTGACTGTTTAGGCCCATGAGCCTCTTTTTAATTTTGTATTTGCAAAATGACTTCTGAATAAATATCTTTACAGAAATTAATTAAGGAAAAAAATAATGACTTAAGACTTGCTTTAGCTTCTTTGTGAGTGTTTAAAAAAATAAAAGAGGAAAGAAAATTAAAATTTGCAATATACATGTATACAAAATGTTGTTGTTTGTTAGCTATTTTGACAAATTATTTTTATTTCACAGAATTTTCAATAACCCAAATGTGTTGCCAGTCCTGGCTTGTTGTAACCAGCCCCCAAACTTGGTAGTGATCAGTCAGTTCATGCCCTATGGCTCCCTGTACAACGTCCTGCATGGAGAAACAGGTAGATAAACCATACATAACATCAGAAGATGTTTTACCATATATTTTTGTGTATTTCCAGTAGGAAAACTTGGGAATTATCGGAAGGGACTTAGAAAAAAAAGATCTGACAAAGATTTTGTTATAGTTTATTTCTTGACACTGAGGAATAGTTTGTTATGATCAGTACACTGGTGTTAACTGCTGTGTCTGGTTCTGCTTTATAGATAAAGAGGAAAGATTTTGAAAACAGTAGGTACTATTTTGAATGGCTTTGTAGACCTGTTAATAAGATACCCAATTAACATATGACACTAAAACTTTGGTACCCATAATTAGAACTATATATATCTGGTATTGGGTTTGCTTTTTATTTCTAAAAAAATACATTTTGCATTTAAAAAAACACAGCATAACATGTATCATTGTTGATCAGTATCATGTCTGCAATGTAAGATGTGTGTTCTAAACAAATTTTCCTTTACTGTTGTAAAATGAGATGTTCATTTGTGCTATGTCAGTCACCACATTCGTTGGTCTGTTTTCTCTGCAGGTATTGTCCTTGATCAGAACCAGACATTGCGATTTGCCATTGATATCGCACGTGGGATGGAGTTTCTGCACTCAATGGACCCCCTCATCCCCAATGTTGTTCTGACCAGTAAACATGTAATGGTAAGTGAAAAGGAGTTATCTCTCTTCAGGTCTCAACAGCTGATTTTAAATGTCTTTCTTAAACCACCTTAAAACAATTGTTGAAGAATTATTCTGTCACAAGATTACTTGTTAAGATATTCTTTATTTTTTTTTTTATTTCTTTTTTTGTCCAGTTTTTATTTACAGTCAAAATTATAGCTCAGTCATGTTGAGTTATATTAGGTAGGAATTTATTACCAAAAGTCTTAATTTGAAAAGAAAAAAGTTTTGATTAAAAAGCTAATCAATATCTCAGCAATTGTTTATTTATTTTCCAGTATATTGTATTCAAATTTTCTCACATAATTGTTGTGGTTCTTGTAAAAGTAACAATGATGAATTGCAGATATATATTTTGTTGTCACATTTATCACTGTATGTTCCTTTTGTTTGGTTATTATCACACTATTTAAATTCTAAATGATAAATATTTCTTTCCTCCAGACTATCTCTGTCTTTGGTTTATTTTTCTGCTTTCTTGCCACTTATTGCTTTCTAGATTGACGAGGATTTGGCAAAGATAAATATAGATGATCCTAAGTATTATGGTCCGGATGGCACGGTTAATGGGGTAAAAGTCAACCGACCAAATCAGGGCGTTCTGCATGAGTGCCTGGTTTTGTGATCGTACTCCCCAACATACAGTATCATGATATACTATAGTTACTAACATCTGAAACCAAACAACCAGGCTTTACTTTTCAGAAAAGAAGAATATGAGCTGGTGAAAACCTATTATCACAAAATAACTTAGAACATTTATTCTTGTCACTGTAGAATTTTGCCGAGAGGTCAATGCATCATATTCACATGAATGAAACAAATGAATTTTGCTAGGTACTGAATTAAAAAGGATGTTAGTGCCAGTTCTGTACTGTGACAATTAGAAAAAACAACTTTTTTTAATGAGTTTTCTGACCATCAGGATTCTATTGATGGAATTTTAAGTTTCCAGTACACATTATTATGAAATTCCAAGAAACAGTCGTCTTCATCACGGTGGGGAAAAATGTTGATTGGTTGATGGTCTAGTTCCAGGGCAAATTGTAGGTCTTGAGCAAGTTAAGAAACAGTCATCACATACTGAGAGTAGTAATTATCATGTATTTGCATTAGTCATCTGTACCACAGTCTGTGATACAGGATTTACACTCACAAGTTTTTTTCCTGGTAGAGTCTGCATCAGTGGACACAAACCTAGATATACTGCCTTGTGTAGTCTACCCATTAGCGGTCACAAATATAAATTTACTCAGTGCCTAGTTGGTCTAGTAGATTGTCAGTCAAAATGCTGCCTAGTGTAGTCAATCAATGGGCAGTCTAGATACATTGCCTAAATTGCAGTCGACATCTTCATCGGTCATCTACTACTGGAACTTTGATGAAGTCTCAAATTCTGTTATGAATTTTTTAGCTGCTAATGTACAGTGTTTTAGAGAGGTTTTAAAAAGTTATGTTAAGTCTTCCTCGTGCTTGTTGAGATTTGCATCCAAATTTTACCTTTGTTACAGATGTTTGGTTATGTGCAAATGTACATTTTCCTCCCTTTCATTTTAAAAATTACTCTAAGTTACAGTAACAAATTTTTTATTTGTTTTGCAAATGTTTTGGGTTGCCTCCCTTTTTGTGTGATGGCCCCTTTGGTGGTATGGTCAATGTCTAACGTATCAGGCTTTCTCTTTAAAGTTTTGTGGTTTGGATTTCTTGTGATTGTAGGTTTATTACCTATACTGGGTTAGTGGAAGCTATGTTCTACTACAATGTATTTTCACACAAGTTCACTTTGCATGCTGTTGATGGGAATATAATTTTTCACTGCACAAATTTTAAAAATATCATATCTTCAGTGTACATGAATAATGTAACAAGTTGCATTAGATGAGAAAGTGTTTGACCAGCAGTTATACTGTAATTAATTGGACTTCATTGAGTAGTAAATACTGACATCAAGTGTCAAAATACAGATGTATACAGAGTCCTGAGAGAAAAAAATTATGTTGGAAATAGAAGATTTATAAACGATGTGAAATCAAAATCTCTGAATAGTACAGTGCCTCCAGGCAAATAGGCAGACTCCAACACTTAACAATCAAACTGAAACCAATGAAAACAAGGTTTGCTGAACATCTGTTATTCACCTTTTAGGTTTAGAGAAATTTAATACTGTCTAGTTAGAATGCTGAGTAGTTGAGAATTTGTATAGCTTGATAGTTAGTCTCATGCTGAAAGAAAGGAATTTTACTATATTTATTTTGTTTTTTGTTTATATTTTTTTTTAGTTATAACATCAAAATAATCTGCTATAATAGGTGGTAGAAAAACATCTGCAATTTTATTATTATTTTTTATTTTCAAATTTGATTTTGTCAGTGTTGTTTGCATGAATGTTCATTTCTATATTTTTGTTTGTCTCTAGGTTAAGGATTCTACATGCATATAAATGCAATTCTGACCGTCCAGTTGTCAGATAACGAGTTAGATTGACTACCTTTCATTTATTCCAAAAGTGTACATGCTATTATTTGTAATAAATTCTGAAATTGATATTGTAAACTTTACTTTAAGCCAGCAAACGATGTGTCACTTTAACAAAATAGTGAGTAATTCTGCAGGGGAAGGTGTTGTTGTACATTGTCATCAGAGGAAGGGATTATGAGGGGTTTTAACTTGTTCCAAGGTTACAGGGAGAATTAGTGACTTACTATGATAAACCAAAGAGTAAACGGACAGGTTACTTTTGCCTTATCATCATTAGGGTTTGGCATGTTCACGCTGACTGCATTGAGTTTTTGAAGATTTTGAATTGGTTTCAGCATGTTGTTTTGATAAATCATTTTGTGAAATGGTCAATAACAGCAGGAAAAAAGTGAATTTAGAGAAATAATACATTAGTGTTTAAATTCACTGCATTAGAAGACAACATAAAATATACTTTTGGTCAACTGAAAGATACCTAATAATTACCCATTTCTGTGCTATTTGAACATTATTCTACAGAATTAAACTTTCTTCTGGCAGCTTGATACAGTGAAACGTTTCCTTACTAAGGGTAATTTACTTTGTAACTGATTTGTGTGACAGCCTGCTTTCATGTATAATCATACCTTCGTACTGGTATCTCAGTAGGAAAATGTTTACACTATAACAGATTGATGAAGACTTGACAGCAAGAATTAACATGGCTGACTACAAGTTCTCTTTCCATGAGAAAGGCAAGCTGTACAATCCAGCTTGGATGGCTCCAGAAGGTAAGTTTGACATGACCCTGAAAACTCTTTTCTTCCATCAATTCATGATACAGTGATGATACAGGCCCTATGGGTCTTTTGTTTTTGTTTTGGTAACTAAAAAGACGATGTCAAAAAGAAAGATCTGTCATCTAATTCCTGAAACATACCCAAATCTTGTTAATTTAGTCACCTCTGATTCAGTATTCACACTTACAGCCAGAATCTTAAATTTTTTTATTTTATCATCTAATTAGTGCAATGATAATTGAATTTGGAAATTCTCAGGAACGCTGACTGATATCAAACTTCATTTCTATTTTCCTTGGAGATAAAATTCCAAGATGTCTGCATTAGTTGCTATTTCAAAAAGCTTTTCGTAGACTCCAGGTATACATAATCAACTCTGCTGAAAGTTCATAGAAACAAAATGTACTTTGTTCTAAATGTCATCATAATATAGCTGAAACCTGGGAGTTCCAAGATGATACTCCAGCATATAAATTTTGAGAAAAAATGAGTGATTTAAATAAATTTCTATTGAGTCACCTTGGCTGGCAAGTAAAAGAAATGATACATGACTGTAATTCTTGATGGGCATTTTACCTGTTGCTCTGTTGACAGCTTTGCAGCGTAAACCAGCAGACATCAACCAACGTGCAGCAGATATGTGGAGCTTTGCTATGGTAATGTGGGAGCTGGAGACAAGGGAGGTACCTCACGCAGATATGGCACCGATGGAGGTCGGCATGAAGGTGATTATCAATACTGGAGCATTTCATCATGTTATATGAAGCAACATATTACCCTTTGTAATCACATTCTTAGATAATAGGACTTCTCATCAAGGATAAGATATATGTTTTTCAGAATTATACAGAAAAACATTGATGATGATGTATACTGTTTGGCAGATTGAATAATGAACAAAGTGTTTTAGATAGTGCTGGATCACCACAGTGAAATGACTGTAGATAAGGTGAACAAACTTCACCTTGCTGTTATCTAGAAGTTACATGTCAATCTTTGTCTTAAAATTTATGTGAATTAAGATATATATTTTGTCAGAGTATATTCTTAATGTACTCCTTTATAGAACATATTTTATTCTTAAGGCACACTTTAGATTTTATAAGTTTTTAGTTTTTTATCTCTAGCTGTATTCATGTAGATTTTTTTCTCTTTAGATTGCAATGGAGGGTCTACGCATCAACATCCCCCCAGGCATTGCATCACATTTGTCGCGTCTCATCAAGATCTGTATGAATGAGGAACCAGGCAAACGCCCCAAGTTTGATATGATCATCCCTATCCTGGAAAAATTGAGGCAAAGATAAAGAGAAACTCTTTGTTGTATACAAGCGGGGGAGAAACTAGGATGCAATTGACAACATATTAATGTAACATAGTCTTTATATTCTCTGTGTCAGTGACATGCTTAAACAACACTGGGCAACACTAACTTATATATCATGTTTGGTTTATAATGTAGTGTTGTCTACTGGAAGAGTGTGTTTTTGTAAGTTTAAATTCTACACACAACTTATACAAGGTTTTCTTTAATGATAAGAAAACACTGCAGCAGTCAGTGTACCTAGCATAAAAAAATATGAACTATGAATTTAAAACTCCAAAGTGTGTGTTTTCATTCAATAGAATTACACCCCTAGACTCCCCAACTGTCAACCTGTTAAAAAATTACAACCATGTTTCAAAGATTTGATTTCAAAATATTTTAACATTTTTGTTAATTTATTAAATATTAGCTTTCATAAGATTTTTTTTGTTTTGTAAGTAACTTTTAATGAGCAGACAGTTGTAACCATGAATGTGAATACCAATGGGAGTTTGTTTTACTATTATTTAATAGCATGGAAAACATTATCAAATCTGATGCTGATAACAGTACATTTCAAGCAGTTAGATTTATGCTGAGAAAGGACAGAGGGTAGGGTATTGAAAATATACAGAAACTAAAACATTCTGTAATTAATATACACATCAAGTGATTTACTGTTACGGAAGGAAGCCTGTTTGAATATGTTTACTGACACAGGGAAAAGACTACAATATCTCGTATGATATGGTGCTATTAGTTAAATAATACCAAAATGTAACTTTATGTAACTTATACATGTTTATATATGTATGGTCAAATATTATGACTTCTGCTTATTTATTTGCATGATTGTATGTACATGTGTATGGTGTATTTTTATCTCGTATTATACATTTTAATGAATTGATAGCATTGTCGTGAAAACCAAGTTCGTTAGCTTTACACATACTTTTGTTATATATGTTAATAACTGCTTGCTTCTTTACCTAAATTGATGTAGTGTGACTTACTTAATGTACAATACTGCCATTTTTAATAAATTGTTTACAGTGTAAGTTTTCACGGGGATTGTATTTCGTTGTTGTGGGGATATAAATGAAGGAAATAATGATAAAGTTTAAATCATAAAGGGAGTCTCAATCTCCCTTTCATCATCGCAGTAGACAATGCATTATTGACCCCATTCAATGAGAATAGTTAGGATGCACTCTTATCCCTGGTTGCTGTGCCTTTTTCATGTTGTGATATATAAGTTTTGTTGATATGTACAGACAGATTGTTTCTTTGAAATACACAACAGATAGCTTTATGACATTGAATCTTATTTTGTGAACTGCAACAAAAACATTTCTGCATTGCTTCAGACAGAATCTGACAATCTCGCATCATATTTTTTACTCCACTTTATTAGATTTTCATTTCTTGCTCATCCATTTTATTAGCTTTTTCATTTTTTTTGCTCATAGTGAAAACATCAAATGCATAAAGAAGTAAAAATGTTACAATTTCAGACAGAATTCATCAATACTCAATATCAGTCTTCCATAAATTATCTCCAGAACAATCCAAAGTTGTATGATGCTGTAAAATTTTTTTTTTAAATCGTCCAGAGAAGTGAGCAAATAAAGATGAATAATTATGATAGTATTGTATAACATATATTCATTAATTCAAAACAATTAATTAATTCTAAGGTAACTTTGTTGATTGAAGCATTTTTTTTATCCGGTGGTTATTGTCCTTTATCACAGTTCAGTTTTAATCAACAAGTAGTATCAGAATCTGAATACCTTTACACAAGTTTTCCTGCAAAATGAGATTATATAAGTGAATAATTCACAAAGTCGACTATTTATAGAAAATAATAGAAAATAGTCAGTGTTAAGTAGAGTGCTTTAAAAGGTAATGAAAGGTCTTTAGGAATACATGTAAAATTATCTGTAAACATTGATCTCATTATCATGTGTTGTTTAAACATTGATATCAGTTTACAAAATAGAATGATCTGGAAATGTGTTACAGATACTCCCTACAATAGTCACAGGAAATGCCCAATGTTATATGTAATATGTGTGTATAAATTTACTGTGCCTTTTGTTATTACTTTCCGATCTAAAATTAAATGCTGATTATTTTATAGCAAATTTAATGGTTGAATATATTATTTTACATGAAAATAAATACATTTGTATTTGAAGAATTGATTAAGAAATTTTTGTTACACAAAATAAACTGTGGAATTTGAAATACTTAAACAATTTCATATATGAATTAGGAATACAAGATTATTTGCTCAAAATTGAACTAAAGAAACAAAGCGCTGTCATATGCTAAAGCAAATTTTCTTACATTGCTATTTTTTCTCCAGAGAAATTGCAATAATAACACATTCAATATGTGTTTGATCAAGCTATGAAGAAAATATTGTAAACGTATTCAGTTTTGGTAATCAAATTTTAGCTCTTTATTACTTTTTGGCACATTAGCGCATTCACAATGGTTGTTACATAGATAACAGTCAGACACTGTAATTAGCCCAATACTTTCAGGGCAAAAACCACTAAAATAAACTATCGCCAAAATATGTACGTTTACATTATAATGTTGATGATGTTACTTGTAGAACAAGGTATAGAACTGTATAGATTTATCTGCATTAAAAAAATCTTACTCAAAATTGTGTTTTTTTGTGAAGTTTTGTTTGAAAAAGTCTTGTATTTGTTGACCATTATCTGAATGGTATTTCAATAATGTACAATTGGTGCATATCAAATCTATAAATTAATCTTGTCAAATAATGTTTTAGATGAAAATATTACGTTGATTATTGACAAAACTGAAACTCTTGCTGTTAGACACCCACAGTATCATGATTTCCATGGTTAGTTGCAGCCATCCGTGAGAACAATTTTATGTTTAGATATATTGAACATGTATTGTTTTAAATAACAGAAATTTATAGGCGATGACCATTGTTTATACCAACCAGAATGGGAGATCAGGACACGAGAGCAAATTCTATAGTGAAGCCAACAGGAACAGCTTTCCGCCAAGATTGAAAAGCTGATGATTCAATTTCCCGTTGGTAAATTTTCCAGTCCTAGGTAGACACCTCCCTGCTTCCCCAACCTATATATCAATATGTCACAATTGATTCGATATTCAAGGGCTCGTTCCAAGAGATGCATATTAAATATTTAAGAGAGTTTTATTTTCTAAACGTAAGACGCTTATCTATCCGAAACACGTGGTCTTATTCCTATACTTTTTTCATTGGTGTCTGTGTAACTCTTTCTTTGATTCATATTGTGTCCTATGATTTCATCGAAATGGAGTTTGCATTAAAGTAAGATTCTGTTGATATGTCGGTATTCACATCATTGATTTTAAAATGGTTGAAATTCAGAAACTCTCCGTCCTGCCTCGTCAGAACTACACGAGATCCTGTAACTAGTAATAAAATTTTACCTAGTACATTGTACAGTGCTATGGAAGGCACGCATTATAACATCAAGACTGAATGTGACGACAAATACGATACAAACATGAATTTCTGGGTTTGAATAGAGTATTTGCAGCAGAAAACTGTTCAGAATATACTTACAGCAACATCAGGTACATATGATTAATAAAGTGGCGACATGTTGAATACGGACAACTATAATAATATAATGAAATATTTTAAAAAGGCAAGCGTTTTTTTTAAATTGGATCTAATCTTACAACATGTCGACAACTATGTTTTATCTTAGAATTATATAACAACTAATGGGACAAACAGAAAATACAGGTCAGTAAAACGGAATCGTAGTCAATACTCAAGATCGATAAAACGTAGAAAAAATTGAACTTAAAACATTAACATGGAGACTAAAGATAAAATCAGGTGTTCAGGAAAAGTAAGCGTCTTCTACCTCATCGTAAACATGCGCCCGATATTGAAATCTTACTCAAAATCTTCATGGATTTTTGAAATTAGAACAAACGTAAAACAACGAAACTATCAGGTACACTAACAGGCATGGAACACTTACACAAAGCCGACAATGTAACTTCCGCATTGTCTTCATCAACATGTGTCTCTCAAATCCCTGGGTTGTAAATATGTCAGTGGCAGAAAGCCAGGAATAGGAATAAGCCGTGAATATTGAACCACTCTGACATTTCAACAATATAGCCTGGGGAAGTTGGAATGCTTTAGCTAGAAATGCAAATTTCACAATAGAGAACTCAAAAACATTACGCTGAGGGTATCGGTAGGAAAAGATCGTGTCCTTTCGATGATTATACTTCTTATTTAAGATACGACATAATCAATATATCTAAACGTGAAAATGAAGAACTTTAAGGTTTTGATAAGTTTTTAAATTTGACCACGCAACCTCGTTCGAAAACAAAAACATTTCAGCCAAGAGAAGGACACTGTTTGTTCTCATAGGTATGACAATATTCCATTTGCAGATCTTATAATTACCACTAAACTCGACATTAACAACCAGAACCATCAATGGCGATTTCATCCCTGGTATATTCTTGAGGAAAAAAAAAGCTAGTTGACAACGTAACCCCGTAAAAGAGCAGATTCAAACGCTCCTAGTAAGCTAATGACACAGATGTATCAGTAAGCATTAAGCGATTTCCATTCTGTCATTTCGAATGAACGGGATGTTAACAAAGTTGTACATTGCATTGTCTGGAGCTAGGAAGCACGGAATGACTCTATATTCAAGTCGTTTCATAAGGTAAAAATATCAAACTCTATATTCCTATCAACAAGATTTAAATATCTCGACTTATATGTTATTTGTTCCAGAAGCAAATATGATCATGTTCGAATGGGTACAGTACTTCAGCAATCGAAAACGAACAAAATAAAGTTCTGTTGGACGATGTGAGACATAACTGTTCACCTAAAACCGAGCTTCCCTTGCCGCTAGAAAACACACTATATGTGAATCGTCTTGTTGTCTATAGAGCGATGTTATTGCTGCAGTTGAGTTTCGCCGTCTTTTGAGAAGACTGATGAAAAGTACGTTTTAAAGCTGTGTATGAATCAAGTAAATTTATATTAGAAGGCTTAACACAGAACGTTCTCCGCTACTACAAGCACGGAGACTTGGCACAAATTCCCAACCCACATGTATCATAATTACTAAAATACATAAACTAATACGGACCACGAGTTGGGTATTCGTTGAAGACACTGTGATTACATGTAGTTAACATTTTATCCTATCTTTTTCTTTCACTTATTTAGCCGATAAAAGTTTAACATGTATTGTCGATTATAACGTTTGCCTGGACTCTTTCATTAAAACGACGGAAGTATAAAAGGGATTTTGAACACCACTAATAGTTCACGACTCTTGTAAAAAAAAGACACATCTGTGAATAGCACCATTTAATACAAATTTATATAAGATCCAGTAGAGCCAAATAATGAATAAAAATTCATCATACAGCTGTTTTGTCATTCTAGGTCTCGTCAGTGATGCTACATCATACAGCTGTTTTGTCATTCTAGGTCTCGTCAGTGATGCTACATCATAAAGCTGTTTTGTCATTCTAGGGCTCGTCAGTGATGCTACATCATACGGCTGTTTTGTCATTCTAGGGCTCGTCAGTGATGCTACATCATACAGCTGTTTTGTCATTCTAGGGCTCGTCAGTGATGCTACATCATACAGCTGTTTTGTCATTCTAGGTCTCGTCAGTGATGCTACATCATACAGCTGTTTTGTCATTCCAGGACTCGTCAGTGATGCTACATCATACAGCTGTTTTGTCATTCTAGGGCTCGTCAGTGATGCTACATCATACAGCTGTTTTGTCATTCTAGGTCTCGTCAGTGATGCTATATCATACAGCTGTTTTGTCATTCTAGGTCTCGTCAGTGATGCTACATCATACAGCTGTTTTGTCATTCTAGGTCTCGTCAGTGATGCTACATCATACAGCTGTTTTGTCATTCTAGGGCTCGTCAGTGATGCTACATCATACAGCTGTTTTGTCATTCTAGGTCTCATTCTACATCATACAGCTGTTTTGTCATTCTAGTCAGTGATGCTACATCATACAGCTGTTTTGTCATTCTAGGTCTCGTCAGTGATTCTACATCATACAGCTGTTTTGTCATTCTAGGTCTCGTCAGTGATGCTACATCATACAGCTGTTTTGTCATTCTAGGTCTCGTCAGTGATGCTACATCATACAGCTGTTTTGTCATTCTAGGTCTCGTCAGTGATGCTACATCATACAGCTGTTTTGTCATTCTAGGTCTCGTCAGTGATGCTACATCATACAGCTGTTTTGTCATTCTAGGTCTCGTCAGTGATGCTACATCATACAGCTGTTTTGTCATTCTAGGTCTCGTCAGTGATGCTACATCATACAGCTGTTTTGTCATTCTAGGTCTCGTCAGTGATGCTACATCATACAGCTGTTTTGTCATTCTAGGTCTCGTCAGTGATGCTACATCATACAGCTGTTTTGTCATTCTAGGTCTCGTCAGTGATGCTACATCATACAGCTGTTTTGTCATTCTAGGTCTCGTCAGTGATGCTACATCATACAGCTGTTTTGTCATTCTAGGTCTCGTCAGTGATGCTACATCATACAGCTGTTTTGTCATTCTAGGTCTCCAGTCAGTGATGCTACATCATACAGCTGTTTTGTCATTCTAGGTCTCGTCAGTGATGCTACATCATACAGCTGTTTTGTCATTCTAGGTCTCGTCAGTGATGCTACATCATACAGCTGTTTTGTCATTCTAGGTCTCGTCAGTGATGCTACATCATACAGCTGTTTTGTCATTCTAGGGCTCGTCAGTGATGCTACATCATACAGCTGTTTTGTCATTCTAGGTCTCGTCAGTGATGCTACATCATACAGCTGTTTTGTCATTCTAGGTCTCGTCAGTGATGCTACATCATACAGCTGTTTTGTCATTCTAGGTCTCGTCAGTGATTCTACATCATACAGCTGTTTTGTCATTCTAGGTCTCGTCAGTGATTCTACATCATACAGCTGTTTTGTCATTCTAGGTCTCGTCAGTGATTCTGCATCATACAGCTGTTTTGTCATTCTAGGTCTCGTCAGTGATGCTACATCATACAGCTGTTTTGTCATTCTAGGTCTCGTCAGTGATGCTACATCATACAGCTGTTTTGTCATTCTAGGTCTCGTCAGTGATGCTACATCATACAGCTGTTTTGTCATTCTAGGTCTCGTCAGTGATGCTACATCATACAGCTGTTTTGTCATTCTAGGTCTCGTCAGTGATGCTACATCATACAGCTGTTTTGTCATTCTAGGTCTCGTCAGTGATGCTACATCATACAGCTGTTTTGTCATTCTAGGTCTCGTCAGTGATGCTACATCATACAGCTGTTTTGTCATTCTAGGTCTCGTCAGTGATGCTACATCATACAGCTGTTTTGTCATTCTAGGTCTCGTCAGTGATGCTACATCATACAGCTGTTTTGTCATTCTAGGACTCGTCAGTGATGCTACATCATACAGCTGTTTTGTCATTCTAGGTCTCGTCAGTGATGCTACATCATACAGCTGTTTTGTCATTCTAGGTCTCGTCAGTGATGCTACATCATACAGCTGTTTTGTCATTCTAGGTCTCGTCAGTGATGCTACATCATACAGCTGTTTTGTCATTCTAGGTCT